CTCTCGAGCGCCTCAGCGATGGTACGGTGCTAGGTAAGTATGATGCTTCTGTGTTGACTCCCTTCGTCGGTCGCATCCAAGACCCGGTACAGGAGAAACGAAAGAGGGGGAGGCCTCGTAGATTTTGCTAACCCCAACGCGAGGACGTTCGTTTGGGTTAGAGGGGGAGACTATCGCGCGCGGATTGTGGCGCGAAACGGTAGACCGTTAAACAGTAGGTACCGCGTCGGCCACGTAAGGACCGCGCACCGCCCGCGCAACGCCCGCGCATGCGCCCTGTGCCCGCGCCGCGTTACCGCGCTCCCGCCACTCAGGAGTCAGTCGAGTCGCGCGCCCGCTTCTAACGCCCGGAACAGTTATCTTCCGCGGATCTCGCTCGTTCCCGCCAAAATCTTGTAAAATAGTATCTATATTTGCTTTGTTGTGTTTGATACGTCCAATGTGTATGTGTATGACAGTCTCCTAATAAACGTTACATAATATTATACGTAATTCGTGTGCATTATTGTGTTTCACCTTAGCTAAGAATAACACACAAACTCCATTTCCCGCCAATGTAAAACGGCGCCGCCCGCCACAGCCGTCATCATACGACGCGGCCGAGGAGGTGCGCGCCCAGGGGGGCGCCGCCCTCGGCCACACACACGCTCGGTGGGCCCCGGACCGGCGCGCCCGCCGCAGCGTTTATCATCGGTGCGGCCGAGGAGACGCGCGCCCAGGGGGGGCGCCGCCCTCGACCACACGCTCGGTGGGCCCGGACCGGCGCGCCCGCCACAGCCGTCATCATACGACGCGGCCGAGGAGGTGCGCGCCCAGGGGGGCGCCGCTCTCGACCACACGCTCGGTGGGCCCCGGACCGGCGCGCCCGCCACAGCGTTTATCATCGATGCAGTCGAAGAGGTGCGCGCCCAGGGGGGCGCCGCTCTCGACCACACGCTCGGTGGGCCCCGGACCGGCGCGCCCGCCACAGCGTTTATCATCGATGCAGTCGAAGAGGTGCGCGCCCAGGGGGGCGCCGCTCTCGACCACACGCTCGGTGGGCCCCGGACCGGCGCGCCCGCCACAGCGTTTATCATCGATGCAGTCGAAGAGGTGCGCGCCCAGGGGGGCGCCGCTCTCGACCACACGCTCGGTGGGCCCCGGACCGGCGCGCCCGCCACAGCGTTTATCATCGATGCAGTCGAAGAGGTGCGCGCCCAGGGGGGCGCCGCTCTCGACCACACGCTCGGTGGGCCCCGGACCGGCGCGCCCGCCACAGCGTGAACAAAGTCGGCGCCGCCCGCCACAGCCGTCATCATACGACGCGGCCGAGGAGGTGCGCGCCCAGGGGGGCGCCGCTCTCGACCACACGCTCGGTGGGCCCCGGACCGGCGCGCCCGCCACAGCGTTTATCATCGATGCAGTCGAAGAGGTGCGCGCCCAGAGGGGCGCCGCTCTCGACCACACGCTCGGTCGGCCACGTAAGGACCGCGCACCGCCCGCGCAACGCCCGCGCATGCGCCCTGTGCCCGCGCCGCGTTACCGCGCTCCCGCCACTCAAGAGTCAGTCGAGTCGCGCGCCCGCTTCTAACGCCCGGAACAGTTATCTTCCGCGGATCTCGCTCGTTCCCGCCAAAATCTTGTAAAATAGTATCTATATTTGCTTTGTTGTGTTTGATACGTCCAATGTGTATGTGTATGACAGTCTTCTAATAAACGTTACATAATATTATATGTAATTCGTGTGCATTATTGTGTTTCACCTTAGCTAAGAACTAACACACAAACTCCATTTCCCGCCAAATGTAAAAGTGACGCCCAACTCGCGGCCCGACGTTAGTTTAATGTCGGCAGTAAAACGAACCCAGTGAAGTGTTATATATTCAGTGACTATAAAGACCTAATCATGCCACGAATTACGCGAGCAACCCGAGCACAAATCGAACACAAGGCGGAGGAGCAAGGAAGTGTCGGTTACTCCGATTCAGACTGCGACTCAGTGGTGGAGCCGCGCGCCCGTGGCGGCGCCGCTACAACCCGGACACGCGACGCATAAGACGCGGCTGAGGAGACGCGCGCCCAGGGGGGCGCCGCCCTCGGCCACACCCTTGGTGGGGTCCGGACCGGCGCGCCCACCACCGCGTTTATCATCGATGCAGTCGAAGAGGTGGGCGCCGCTCTCGACCACACGCTCGGTGGGCCCCGGACCGGCGCGCCCGCCGCAGCGTTTATCATCGGTGCAGTCGAAGAGGTGCGCGCCCAGAGGGGCGCCGCTCTCGACCACACGCTCGGTGGGCCCGGACCGGCGCCGCCCGCCACAGCCGTCATCATACGACGCGGCCGAGGAGGTGCGCGCCCAGGGGGGCGCCGCTCTCGACCACACGCTCGGTGGGCCCCGGACCGGCGCGCCCGCCACAGCGTTTATCATCGATGCAGTCGAAGAGATGCGCGCCCAGGGGGGCGCCGCTCTCGACCACACGCTCGGTGGGCCCCGGACCGGCGCGCCCGCCACAGCGTTTATCATCGATGCAGTCGAAGAGGTGCGCGCCCAGAGGGGCGCCGCTCTCGACCACACGCTCGGTGGGCCCGGACCGGCGCCGCCCGCCACAGCCGTCATCATACGACGCGGCCGAGGAGGTGCGCGCCCAGGGGGGCGCCGCTCTCGACCACACGCTCGGTGGGCCCCGGACCGGCGCGCCCGCCACAGCGTTTATCATCGATGCAGTCGAAGAGATGCGCGCCCAGGGGGGCGCCGCTCTCGACCACACGCTCGGTGGGCCCCGGACCGGCGCGCCCGCCACAGCGTTTATCATCGATGCAGTCGAAGAGGTGCGCGCCCAGAGGGGCGCCGCTCTCGACCACACGCTCGGTGGGCCCGGACCGGCGCGCCCGCCACAGCCGTCATCATACGACGCGGCCGAGGAGGTGCGCGCCCAGGGGGGCGCCGCTCTCGACCACACGCTCGGTGGGCCCCGGACCGGCGCGCCTGCCACAGCATCATACGACGCGGCCGAGGAGACGCGCGCCCGGAGGGGCGCCGCTCTCGACCACACGCTCGGTGGGGGCCAGACGCGCTAGCGCGCCTGCGCGCTACCTACGGCGTGCGAAAGCCCGCGCATATGATACTGCGCGAGGTATTTCAGTGTGAACAAAGTGAGTGCGAACGTGCTGAAGTTTTGTGTCAAAGGTACGATGTATACTTATACAGTTAGGCTTAGGTACCCTATTCTGTGCCGAACGAGATAATGGTAGACATAGTGTACGGTTTATTACAGTATAAGAAAACGGGTGTCACGAGACACCATCACCGACATTGAACATCTGTTAGAGCGAGCGAGACTCACAGAAGATTCGATAACTGAGCTAAAAAACTCAAACGTTCCCGCGAACAATTCGAACATACCTACTGTTCCCGATCGGAGTATTACTACGAGTTCGAACGCAACCACTAGTCCCAAACTCACCTCTAACTCGAACGACTCGTCTAAGCGAAATCGTGTTCGGTGGGTGGTATTCACGTAGATCCAGGCAAGACCGCGGCAATCGCGAATATACCTACACCGCGCAACGGCTGGTTCAGGCGTTTTATCCCTGGTTACGCAGAGGTCGCCAAACCATTGACAGCGCTGGTGAAAAAGGTAAGTGTATGGAAATGGGGCCCGGACCAGCAAGCTGCTTTCGAGAAGATCAAGCACCTGCTGGTATTGGCGCCGACCCTGCGTGTCAGGCTGATGCGACGTTGCCTTTCGTCCTCAGGACCGACAGCAGTGGAATACGCTCTCGGGGCGGTTCTCCTCCAGGGGGAGGGGACCGACGAGCGCCCGTTAGAATACACTCCAGGTAAGGCGATCGTTATAGCCGACACTCTGTCGCGCCCGGCATGTGCCGAAGATGCCGACTGTGACCTGTGCTGCCCTGCGGTCGACGTGCCCTCTCGCAGTCTGAAGGACGTGCGCGAGAATCAAATGAAGGATCCAGAGGTCAGTCCCACCACATACAATCTCGAGCGCCTCAGCGATGGTACGGTGCTAGGTAAGTATCATGCTTCTGTGTTGACTCCCTTCGTCGGTCGCATCCAAGACCCGGTACAGGAGAAACGAAAGAGGGGGAGGCCTCGTAGATTTTGCTAACCCCAACGCGAGGACGTTCGTTTGGGTTAGAGGGGGAGACTATCGCGCGCGGATTGTGGCGCGAAACGGTAGACCGTTAAGCAGTAGGTACCGCGTCGGCCACGTAAGGACCGCGCACCGCCCGCGCAACGCCCGCGCATGCGCCCTGTGCCCGCGCCGCGTTACCGCGCTCCCGCCACTCAAGAGTCAGTCGAGTCGCGCGCCCGCTTCTAACGCCCGGAACAGTTATCTTCCGCGGATCTCGCTCGTTCCCGCCAAAATCTTGTAAAATAGTATCTATATTTGCTTTGTTGTGTTTGATACGTCCAATGTGTATGTGTATGACAGTCTTCTAATAAACGTTACATAATATTATATGTAATTCGTGTGCATTATTGTGTTTCACCTTAGCTAAGAACTAACACACAAACTCCATTTCCCGCCAAATGTAACAATGCTGTTAATGACTAAGCCATGTAGTACAATCCTTATCTGATAAAAGCATTAAAATTGGTGTTTTTAGTATTTTTTCTTGGTGAAAATTCGACTTGTCGCTGTGGTAATATTGAACACTACACTTGACTTTAAAGAATTAGTTTAACAACCTTTAGTTGTGTTAAAAATATAATTCGTGAGTGGTTTCAACCAGCATTATTTGTTAATCATCACAGTTCATCAATGCTGTTAATGACTAAGCCATGTAGTACAATCCTTATCTGATAAAAGCATTAAAATTGGTGTTTTTAGTATTTTTTCTTGGTGAAAATTCGACTTGTCGCTGTGGTAATATTGAACACTACACTTTACATGAAGATGAACCATTTTACCAAAATATGAAAATTAATTTATTTTAAGTTCAAAACAAAATGCTATAATTAAAATAATAGATATAATGAGATAATTGTATCATACCATCCACTTGAATTTAAGTCCAAACAAACAGAAGATGAAGAATGTAGACCAGATAGCTGGGCAAAGAATCAGCCCCATCCAAAACAGTCTGCTTTCGTTCTGGTTTACTCGATTCTGAAAAGAAAAACGAAGATTTTGGTCACATTTCAAATAGATTCTGTACAATGACATTATTGTTAGTGCATGCAACTCTATGGTATTAGTGGAGGAGTTTCAAAACACTCACATTTACCTGTTTTGTTTCAAACACCCAATGTGACTTGCCATCGTCATCTACATAGTTCCACCATCGCAACCCCACCAATAGACGGCCTGAAATAATAAAAATTAAATTTAATTCACCATATAAAGAAGGGTAATGTGTACTTTCATACTATAATACAAATATTGAGTATTTTACTATATTTTTGGACTACTTCAATGTTATTTATTCCAGTGATTTATGACACCACCATAAAATAAATTCGTTCAGTTGCTGATACTCAAAGTTCAGTTCTAGGTTCTTCTTTCATTCATGTAATGAAACATTTGAAACTAGACATACCACTAATATTTTTGACAGTCCAGAAGTCAGCGGACAGTAGCAGGACAACTAGCACAAAGCTGGCAATAAAGGAGTCGGAGAACCAGCCACACAGCATGTACACCACTATCGCAGAGCATCGGAACACCAAGTGGAAGAAAACTATGTAAGGGTGCCTGAAAAGTAGAGGTTACACTCTTTTAAAAACACTGAGTTAAATTAAATCTGCATGTACTATGATTGAAAATTACCTAATATAATACTTAAATTTATGGTCATTGGATAATTTAGGACATAGATGGGACATTAAGTCTGTGTTCAGTTGAATTCACAAATTATTACACAATGTATGTCCACATCACTGAAAAAACCATAAGCAGTCAGCCAGTACCTAACCAGTAAAATACTGACATTCAGTTCTTATAAGAGTGCCAACCTCTAAAACGCATTTAAAGTCTTGGAATAATAACAATATATAAGTTTCAATTTGGTTCTGTAATACTTACACAAACTGCTTATTAGCATTATCTTCTTCCCCGAAGGCGAGGGTGTCGTCGTCTAGCAGCGGCACCTGCGGCACACCTGGCTGTAAGTAGCGCGGTTACAACACTACATCAGCTCAAGCCGTGCAAAGCAAATCAACTATCCATTCACTATCGAGCTCAAAATTAACTTGTTTCTACAAAATTAATTGCAAATCAAAACAGCTAGGGAGTAAATATCATGAATTCACTATAACACAATTATAATGTCGATGATAATGCTCTTGTAAATTAGGGAATATTAGGAAAATTAATATCAAACAGTTTCCAAACATGTCAGACAATGTCGAGTATCCAAGTTGTACTTACAGTTGCCGAATTCATTGCTGGATTATTCATCTCTGTTTATTTGGAACTAGATCAGAAAATTCCTTTAATATGTATTATCTTATAAAATATTGTTAATTGCACACACTTTTGCTATTCGTCATCGATTTATAACTATTCTATTTTATGTACGTTTCATTTTATGTGTTGGTATTCACAACAAGAAATTTATATGAGATGGCTAGATTGAAGTTTTCTAAGCAAAACAGAGAAAAAAGAATTTTAATGCTTTATTTCTTATTGTCATAAATTTGACATTGACAACTTTTTGACAAAAAGATCCTGTGATGATGGTTATTATGTCAAACCAGATTAGGGATCCTCAAGTCTTCAGAAGAAACCGTAATCAGATCTGCAGAACAAAATACTCCTGGTCGACGGTATACCCAAATCAATACTACCCTCTACCTTCAAGATAACAGGTTAATCCATCCTTAAAGGTCAGCAACGCACTTGGGAATGCTCAGATATTGTAGGTGTTCTAGCAGAACAAAAAAATTGCCAAAATAGATAAATTTAACACTATTGTTGTCTTCGCACGGTACTAACAAAATGCAGTAATAACTAAAAAATATATCGCTGCCCATGTAGTTCCTATTTTCCTAAAGACGGTCATGTGGATATAATGGCTGTCGTCTATCCACAGAATAATCAACGACCTAGGTCGAGGGGAACGCTTACGTCTGAATATAACCAGCCGGCTGTGTTCTATGTTCAGCAGTCAACGTTTTGTCAGCTTATATCATATATCTATAATCAATTTATCACCTATTACGCTTATTGTTTAACCTGTAGCCTTATTTACCATTATCATCATCATGAGTTAGTTTAAGCAGCTACTCACTTAGCTAAATAGGCTTATTAAATTTAAAACAAGCACAGTAGCAGGTTATTTGTATTTATAGACATATATATACACAACGTATTTACGTTTTGAAAATGTAATAGCTATATTGGTGGCTTAATATATTTGAACGCATCTTCAAATCATTTTTAAACGAATCTTGTATAAAATGAAACAGCTCCATGTTTATTAATTTATGTATTATCGGACTGACATAAAAAGTAAGTAAAATTATTGTTCTCCTTAATTTTTGCGATTGTCATTGTATGATAATCCGCTGCAATTTTGATCAACTAAGTTTATATTTATTTATAGTTTTTGAACGAAGGTTGCGCATATCGCAGAACACCCGTTCTAACTTCACTGAAGTAAAAAAAAAGATACACCTGTCAAAATTTTGCAGCAGGGCACATGCAAAGGCTGTTTACAATTTTGCAACATACTTGTGTTTGTCATTATTGTGTTATTTTTGTAGCTTAAAGTTACACTATTATTGTGTGTCTTACGATGTCTTCCGCCGGCGCGGTGGTCGGTTCCCGCGTGTGGTCGTGATTCTCGGTTTTAGTGCGTGACAGGTGCGAATTTTGCGTAACGGAGTCGCGATGGGCGCAAAGGCGAGCACCGCGAACGGGGGGCAGAGTCCGCGCACCAGGACATTCTCCACGAGCTCCAGCTCCGAGGTGGTGTCCAGTGGCGCGGGGTTCAGCCTGCTGAGAGCGATACCGGGGATACAAGTGACGAACGACCGCCAGCGAGCCAGGTCACTGTCTTCCGTGCCTGATCTGCACGCTTCTCACGAAGCTATCGCGATCCCGCCTAACTCTCAGAGCTACGAGGCGTCCGCAGCCGCCAGCCCCGACACAGACTCGAGTTCCAATGAGGAGGCGGGCCCGGTGCCCGGTACCTCGCTCGCGCTGGGACGTGTCTACGCCACGCACTCCCTGCCTTCACATATCTGGTCAATAAACGGTGAGTACCTAGTAGTAAGTTTCTAATTAAATAAAATAGTGCGAGGGTACTTGACTTGTGTTACATGTTAGGTAATCATTGTTGTTGATTCATCACATTATGACTATCTTGATTTGTTAACTTTTTTGTCAAAAGCTTTAAGTCTTTATGTTTAATTAACTAAATGTTTTTGTGAGGTGAACTACATGTTACACAACTTTTAGGTAGATAAGGGCTATATTTGGCTACTTGTTTTTTGTGTAACAAACAACATATAAAATGTTTTACCTTGTATATTGTTTGCTACATTTATATTATGAACATTTTAAGTACTAATTATCTAAACTTTATGAAAAATTATATTAAACTATAAATTACTACCCCAAATAGAAACCTGCCTAATTAGACATCATTATATTTCATATTAAACCATGGCACTGGTGCGGAATGCATGCTTAATGTTAACAGCATTATCTAGGCATGTCTATCTGCAATCAGATATATTCAGTGTGTGATAATATTATTCATGATACAGTTTTTATTGTATTTTAATATTATTGTATATGAATCATATTTAATAATATCCTAAAATAAGTTTATGTATGACAACTTAAGGATAAGGTAATTCTATTAATATAATATATGACTAAGCAGATTGTTTCAGGGTAGTATTTTTTTTATATTCTGCTACTTATATGTTTATTTGCACTATGCTTTATTGGTCAGATATCTGCAATATTTAAATTGTTTAACAAGTTAATATATAATCTTAAACTACAATTTGCATGATGTAATTTTTCAGAAATAATCTATGTTTCAAAGAGATCTGATAAAGTAATATTTTTTTATATGTATAGGTTGTTGTGGGTAGATATTTTCTAACATGTAGCTGCATTGTACACTTGAAGGGATGAGCATACTTAAACTAAAATTTTAATTTATAAATCCTCAATATTCATACTTTTAGATGACCTGAAAATTTTAGAAATGGCACAGGACAATAATTTATTTTTATAACACAATTTTGAGACAATAATGTTATAATATTGTAAATAAAAACTTTACTCCAATGTTAACATTGACAGTGAGATTAGTTTGTAGTTCATATTATACTGTGAATCTGTAATGAGGCATCTATTTTAGAATTATTACATAATAGGTTCCAAATAGACTCAATTGAATATTCAATGAGAGAGGCCACCGTCTCATTCGATTAGGAGCTATTGAAAAATGTAGGATTCATACATGGCTTTCATTGGTTTTTATTTTTTATTTTTAATCACTGTAAGGAGTAGGTTGTGTAGCGAGGTTTGGAAATGAATCAGTAAATAGGCTGTCTGTAATAAAAATATCTAAATGACTTGCATTTTTTAATTTATTAGTAGTGCATTAAATATCTACATTATCATTGTTGTAAACAACTTTTGTGTCGTAATTTAAGATATTTATTTATATCCATGAGGTTGGATAATATAGTATTCATACATATAGGTCCTAAAAACTATTCTCAACTTTGAGTACTCAGCAGAGCACACATTCAACGACGCTTTCGTTCGGGAACGCGCGTTTAGTGCATCAATACGGTAAACATCGGGACCACTGTTCCTTGAGTGTTCACATAAAATATTTCTGGCACGTCTGCCGCAACTATTGAAATAGTTTGTTCACCTCGGCCACAACCACGATGCACAGACAGACACGGGCATTACTTGTCACGTTATTGAGCTATTACCGCGCTATTTCTGCCTATCCCACTACGGAGCGGTCGTGACAGCAACATCACTATTAACTCCCGTGCGTCTACGCGTCTGGGAGCGACTTTCTCGTACTATAATAAATCGCGGGCACTTTTCCGGGTTGAGGCGCACGCGCTTTGGTCGTTCAGTCGTGTTCGGACTACCGCAGCGCTCGCACCGCCAGCACTATGTACAGACGCCGCTACCGCACCACCCTCGGGCTCGGGCTCGGCTCCTCCTTCTCCTCCTCGTTCTCGACGACGCTGTCGTTCCGCACTACCACCACCACCACCACCTCTGCCACCGACACCGTCAGGTCGGACGCGCGCGCCACTGCCGCTAAGCTCAAATCCAAGTATGAAAACGCCGGCACAGCGCAAGGTGCGTCTCTTACTAACGTGTGTGCGACTAATATCAATTCTCTTGTGATTTCGTCAAAATAAAATAATGTCGTGTTTATTTTCCTCGCTCTTATCCCGAGGAATAATATCTGATCGTAGCCTCTTTGTTAGTTTTCCTCATGTGAGGGATGTTGGTTGTGATTGCCGATTCCAACTGTATTTGTTTCGTTTCCCCACCCTATATTGTAGCAATTCTATATTTGATAATATGAATTTCATATACGAACATGGCCACATTTCGCTGTTCCAGATAAAATGTATCGTGATAACATTTGCGAGCTTTTAATATTAACGGTTTATCGGAGCTACAAAAGTGCTTTAAACATATTGTATCTGAGTGGATTTTGTTCGTAGTTTTATTAATTTTAGTCTAGATTTTGGATCAAGTATTTTCTGTAAATACTTTCACGAGAAAATAATGCTGTAAATATTCTGAGAGCGTAATCTTCAATGTTTAGTTGATGTTAATTAATCATATGCTCCAACATGTGCTATGTATAGCGGAGTTGTCCGAATTCTGTGACAAGTACGCTTTGACATAATTGTGTCAAAAACCGACGAGGGACATTGAGCAAGCAGCCACTCGATATCAGCTCGCAGACTACCTAGGGCTACGGCTTAAATACAAATAATTGTAATTTAAAATTAATTTGCCGGAGACGAGTACAGGGGTGGTATAATTGTTAATTAAAATTCTATCAAGCTACTATACCAATGAAGTTCGCTAGGCTCGCTAAAACTCGAGAACGGCTGGTCGGTTTTGTATAATTTTGGTCATAAAATATTCGTGGAAGGTATAAAAGGTCAGCATATAGTTATGTTTTAGGCCGTACGGGTTTCGCGCAGTCAGCTAGTCTGCTAATATTATAAAAAAGTAAAATTTGTAAGTTTGCATGTAGGGGGTAATCTTTGGAACCGCTGGTCGGATTGCCAAAATGCTTTCATTGATAGATAGCTACAATGTTCCTGAGTGCTATAGGCTATAAAACATCAGGCTACGATCAAATGGAGCCGAGCAGCGGGTGGAACTGCGCGAGAGTAATAATTTGATAGGATTGTACACACAAATATGGACACAAAACAATAAAATAAATCGTACCACGATGTTTTTGTTTTGTGAGGTGGCAACTAATTTCCCACTGTTCAGTTGTTGACTATACTGCCAGTGCCAGCTGCAAAATGCTTCTATACCATCATTTTGTTTTCGCCAGCCATATATTCTCTAACTCTTGACTTAAAATCATTCAAAACTTGGATACGTATTTAATAATAGATAAATAAAAGAAAACCTAAAAATAGCGCTAAATATTTTAATTACATTTTGTTAAAGTTTTTCATGAAATCTATAAAAATGAAAATATCATATTTAAAACAGTCAACACTACCCATCATTTTATCGTTTTTTAAAGGAAAATGCTCCAAAGTGAAATGAACTCTTAGAGACATCTTATCAATGGACTTAGGTTATTTAGCGTTTGTATTAACGGACCTTGTTTTTATTAATATATTTTTTTCACCACCACATTACCGCCTGTCTGCCTTTTTATGTACTTACGGAGCAAAAAAGCAAAGCAAACCTTTTACTAAATATTGTATTCAACTTTTTATGTGGTTTAATTTAAGCGAGTTTCTGCTGTGTTGCGTAATGAACTTCTAGGACCTCACTTCGTCCACGTGCCGTGAGCTTAATGCGTTTAAAATTATCCTATTTAACATGAGACACTGTGCTTGTGTGCTTACAAAATTATGCATCATTACTTTGCCTGCGAACTGAAACTAAAAGTCTCTGTAGCGTCAGATTTGACATTTTATTATGCATATTCGTAAATAGTAAAAGGGTTACAGATTAACGCGTTCAAGTATAAAACTTTGATGTGTAAATGTTTATTATATTCGTGGTCATATTCGTCACGATGAGATATACGTGACAGCTTCTGATTCGTCTCATTTATGTGTCTAGTAAAAAATAAAATATTGTTACCCCAACCGTAGTGTGACTACATGTAAACACGCTGTGCCTGTCAGGCTCTAGGCTTTAAATAAGTCTGACATTTGAGTGTCGTCTGATCTCGATTTGTCGTAAACTCTAAATCAAACAACGCGTCACTCTGCTAAGATATTAATTTTAATATTTACGATTTAAACGAAACTAGTGATGCTACGTGCTACCGATCTTGTAAACAGCTACATATCCGCAACTATAATGAAATTACAACGTTTCCACACTCGGAATATTCCGCAATTAGTTGACTGAATTATAAAGCAGTTTTTGTTGTCATACGAGTTTAAGACTTTTAGGTAACTAGCGTTGTAATAGCGATCAGTTAGTTCTTGATTATATGTGTAATGTTTCGGAAAATACTGTGTTTCTGCTTCTTATTCTATTTATACTCCTCTCTCGTTTTTGTTTTTACTTTCCCTCACTATTCTGGATAAACATGTCCGATGTTTATAATGACGTTGAGCAAATTTCGAGAATCGTCTCTGGGAATTGATTAAGAGTTATTAGCCTTACCAGCAAGCTGTTACTATTAATTCATTATATGGCGATTAATAATAGCATCATCGGCGTCGCTGCTATGAGCTTTTCAGTACATTGCACACTGTGTTGAAAAACAACTCTGAAACAAAACGATTTATACTTGAACATAAATTCTCCAACGAAATATAATGTCAAAAAGGAAGATAAATAGAGCTTTTAAAACCCCGTAACGTTCAGAGTTCGCAAACAGTGTAATCACTTGCCGCTACCGCTTTCGTACCTATCTGTATCCGCGAGTCGGTCTATATCCGCAGGGTCGCTTCCCTAGTGGAAATGTAGCAGTTTGCTCGAGGAAGCTGCCTCAATAATGTTCTATTTATTATCCTAACCGCTATCGTAATGTTTATGTGACACCAATTCTACAAGGATTTCACGCACTTTATTTCAATAATCAGAAACAAGCGGATAAATATTTTTCAGTTGATAATAAAAGAGCTGAATAAATCTGGATGATCTCAGGTCGTTCCCTAAATTGTCGAATACCAACAAAATAAAATGACCTAATTATGATTAGGTCAATGTCCCATTTTATATTTTAGTTCTTTTATATTTTCCTTCAGTGCACACATATGAGATCTGTAAGATTTGACTGCATTATTGTATGAAGTAATTTCAAAACGCCTTAGAAAACAAACTCTGTAGCAGTTACTTTGAAGTTAGAAAAACATACACATCATGGCAGACTGAGAAACAATAGATTTATAACTATTCGTAAGTTTTGAATAAATTAAACGTGTTTTTTAAAATGTGGTTTATACAGGGCGGGTAGCTTAAAAAAATAAAATAAAGAAGAACCAAAAATACTCTGTCTAAGAAAATGAGTAAAGATGGCCAGCACTTTATTTTTGCACTAAATTCGTGACGTTATTCACACACCAAGTTCGTTGTATTATATGACATGTAAATTGAATTTGTAAATCCGGGAGCAAACCGTTTCTGCATCATTGCAGTCCATAAACCATACCGGTTATGTGATCCACGTGGTTGCACCTGTGATGTCGTTGATGTTTTCTGAGCCCTGAAACTTGGTGTATTCATACTGGAAAGGTAAATACTGTAAACCTATTTATAATGCTGCTCACAAATCTGTATTGTTGATACACTGATACACAAAGAAACGTACTAAGCGAAATTTAAAAAGTATAAGTACAATAACTTTCTTTCAATTCAAACTAAAAAAAAAAAATTATCAACTAAAATATATATGCTTTTAGAACGTTAAAATAACATAATAGTCCATCAGTCTATTGGTCAGTGAAGCTAGGTGCTCGTTTCAAAGTGTAGATTCGAATGGAGAAAAACGAGCAAGATACTTTATCGTTAAAATAACAGGGCAGAAGAAGTATAAGATTTTCTACATCAAAATAAAAAAAAAATGGGGCTCATGTCTCTTCCGCTAGCTGAGGCCTTGGAGACAATTCTTTGCTTGATATCTTCACGTTTGTTCGTACTTATCGGGGACCTGTTATATTTATTTTCGCTTTTTTTTGGACAAAACTAATCTGATCGCTAGCTATTAATTTTATAAAATATAGATGGATTGTAAGATAGGTGTCTATGTTTGATATTAAGTAAATGAATGTGTCGGAACTCATGGCGCGGTATTGTCTAATTAGCCGGAACATTCGTGTTCGGGCGCTAACTGATTGACTTGTTACTGTCTCATGTCTGAACATCATTAAACTCCGTTTAACACCTCCACTACTAATTGGCGGTTTGATAATTACAGGAACATTTGGTGGTTATTTAATTTTCTATTCAGATTTGTGTATTTGAAGAAAGAAAGAACTATTTCAATGTTTTAGAACATGAAAGTTGGTCAACTGATTTTTCATTAAAACTTTATAGGCACTCGTAATGTGTATTTTAGGTGCAAGCGTTATTTGTGAACGTAAGTTAAACATCCGTGTGTTCCAAATACTGGTATAGTTAGTACCAGCGATGTCCTATATGCGCTAACAATAAAACTAGGTCAGGCATAGCTTTAGAGAAGGCATGAATTGATTTATGAATGCAGAGGAACAATTAAATTACGCTTCATTCAGAATGCCAGTGACAAAGGTTCCAATTTGGGCATTAGTATAATACAAGTTGAAGAAATATTGCTCCACAGCACGTTGGAATATCAGTAAACAAACACATAGGGCAAATGTTAAAATAGAGTACGCAGAACCTAAAATAAAGTGCTATTACCGACCCATTCATATATTTTGTTATAAAACTAATTCTGCTCCCAAACGCTATAGTAAGATCTAAAATAGCCGTAATGGTGTGCGGTTGCCACCTGGCCAATATTTGGCACTAGGCTGGACGCGGCCGCCCCACTGACTTGCCCTATATCCGCTTTAAATAGTGCGTACGCGCATCTCTCTGTGCCGCTATTGGCACATGTCGATTTTACTGAAAACTTACATTGGATGTTATTGAAACTTGAGATC